AGGTAGGAGGAAGTCTAGTGCTGATCTAGGCTTCCATCCCAAGTGCAACTGGTTAGGACTAACGCCGGTACTACTATGAATAGCATTGTTGTACAAGCTGGCGATGAGAGGCAACTGCTCATCCCAATCATCTTGGTTGGGCTTGATGTAATGCCGCAGCAAGTGTTGTACCACTCTGTTCATTTGTTCGGCTTGTCCGTTGGCTTCGGGATGATTCCCTGAAGTCATTTGAAGTTAATTGCCCATCTGTTCTGCAGTCCTCTTCCACAGTTCAATTGTGAAGCGAACGTCTCGATCACTAATGATGGTCTTTGGTAAACCAAAGTCCCTTACCCATTTGTCCTTGAACAACTTGATGACATACTCTGTCCTGGCTGTCTCTGGCATTGGTATTAGTCTAGCGTATTTGGTGAATCTGTCAATGATGACGAAAATGTGCCTCTTACCACTCTTGCTGGTCACTAGGGTGTCCATGAAATCCATGGAAACACTCAATCCTGGACCATCAGGAATGGGTAAAGGCTTCAATAACCCAAGCGGTGCTTGAGTTCKCRGCTYGTCCYGCTRACAGACCTGACAGGTCTCAACATACTTCTTTGCGTCATCTAACATTCTGGTCCACCAAAATCGTTGTACTAAGTTTTCTTGTAGCCAAAGTGCACAGTTGCGTCATGACATTCTCCTAAAAATAAACTATGCAACTATTCACTAGATGGAACTACCAATCTCTTTACTCCGGCCTTATCAAGATAGATTAGCCCATCCACCATCACAAACTCACTTTCTGTGGCCTTGTCTTTTGCCTGAAGCTTGCAGATGATGTCCATCGTGACAGGGTCTTCTTGATAGGCTCCCACCAATAATTGAGTTACTTCATTAGATACGCCAAAGTCAAAAACTAGCACACCTAGGTAGTCTGTTCTACGGGATAGCGAGTCTGCAACCTTGTTGTACTCTCCCTTCAGGTACTCAAGCTTGAAGTCATATTGGTCTATAACCTCAATCCATCGCTTGAGTGCATCAGAAAAAGCCGGTTGAGTCTTGATCCATTTGAGGGTCAGATAGAAGAACCTTCCCAAAAGGAAGTGTCTCCAATGGACAAGTGCCTTGTAGAGAGCATAGAGTTCCCTTTCATAGGTGGACTTAGCCAACTTCTTTGATGGCATCTTCTTACTCAGGTACTCAATCGGTCTCAACTTTTTCCCATCCTGCTGAGCCAGCACTGCGCCAATGTCGTATTGGCTTGCGTCAGTGGTCACTATGAATGGCTTTTGCGGATCGGGAACCATGAGAACTTCATGATTCATGAGTGCATGCTTCAATCTCTTGAAAGCACCTTCGCACTCATCACTCCAGTCCCACGGGGTGTCAAGTCGAGTTAGATCAGTCAAAGGAGAGGCGACTGTAGAATAGTTCTTTACGAAGTTCCTATAGTAGCCGCACATTCATAAGAATGATCTGACCTCAGTGGCAGTCTGAGGTCGTGGCCAGTCTCGAATACTAGCCACCTTCGCATATTCCGGCCTAATCCCCTCCGCGGATACTTCATGACCCAAGTATAGTATCTTAGTGCAACCGAATTCGCACTTCTCTAAGTTGACCTTATACTTGTGCTGTCGCAGGAGTGAGAGAACTGTCTCAACATGCTTTGCGTGCTCCTCGGCAGACTTACTAAAGATCAGAATGTCATCTAGATAGACTACGACAAACTTATCTAAATGGTCATGGAAGATCCGATTCATAGCGTGCTGGAATGTACCCGACGCATTGCAAAGACCAAAAGGCATCACAACAAACTCATACAGACCATATCTAATCTGAAAAGTTGTCTTGTGTTGGTCCTCAGGTCTTATTGCGATCTGATGATAACCGGATTTCAAGTCTATCTTCGTATAGTACTTGCATCCCTGCACCCTATCCAATAGGTCGTCTATGCGAGGAAGAGGCTCTGCGTTTTTCAATGTGATGGCATTGAGGCCTCTATAGTCAATGCACATCCTCAAAGTACCCCCCTTCTTCGGTACGAATAGTACGGGTGATCCGTAAGGGGAAGTACTAGGCCAAATCCATCCCTTCTCTGTCAGCTCCTTGAGTTGCTTCCTAAGTTCATCTAATTTGGCAGGGGCCATCCTATAGATCCTTCCCTTTGGGGTCTTACTCCTTGGAATGATTTCTATAGCGTGGACAACTTCCCTATCAACAACTCCTGTGGGCTCCTCGAACAGATCAGGGAACTTAGCAACGACGCGATCTATCTCTGGGGGTGTTTTAACGGCCTCCCCCTTCTCAGAGACATAAACAAGGTACATACCCTCCTCTTTGTTTTGCTTGTAATAGTTGTAGAATGYTGATGCMCACAAGCAGCCATAGGARTCTACAATACTGCTGGCYTTGAACTTAGTCAATCTGACAGTTCGGCCATCGGGCAACTTTTGCTTGAGCACCTTCTTATCCCAGTCGAACTGGGGCTTAGCAACTTCGAGGTAGTACATACCTMACAKCATWTCGAAAGGTAAGTCRTCACTRACCAAGAACGAGATCTTATGGTTAAGCTCGCCTCCTCCATAGGAGAAGGTACAGACTACGTCCTTGATGTAGTCTGTCACTATCATGCGCTCCTTGTTGGCCAAAGTAGATGCTACTAGTCTACTAAGGTGCCGTACCCGGTCCTGTAGGTGCAGCCTTTCCAAACAATCGCGACTTATGTAATTTCGCGTGGATCTGTTGTCTATGAAGGCTCCACATTTGTGGCCTCCTACATCCACTTCCACCACGAAATGTTCCCCTCTAGGACCCTTCTTTAGCGCCACCCAAGACTCACGAGGATCCTTGTTTGACCATTCGCCTTCTAAGTCTTCTAAGGCCTCAGACACATCTAACGTACAGAGCATAGTTTGGTCTAGATRCGTCTGYGGGGTAGCTAAGGAGTCATTAGCTTCAGCCTTGTCATGAAGTGAGGAGGGTATCATTCCCACTTCATCTTGAGTAGAAGCCGCTATTACTTCCACTGGCCCTACGCGTTTCCCGAGCTAGATGCCTGGGAATAAGTTGCCCCAACCTTTGGTGCAACCTTTTACGTAACCTTCGCGTTCTGACACTTCCACTGCGTGTGTCCGTATTCACCGCAGTTGATGCAAGCGCCACGCGATCGGCAGTCACGCCACACGTCCTGGTCAAGACCTGCCTTTGCCCACTCAGCCTATTTGGTCTGATTGGAGGCGGCCTTTCCTTGACTCCTAGGTTGGCCCTTACCTCAGCCACCTGCCTTAGTCTTTACTACCGCGGCGAGGGTGCTACCCTCAGCTACCTCCTCGCCGTCATATTCTGAATAGTCCACCAGGTCAGAGAGCTCGTCCATTTCAGTTTGGGTCCCATCTGACTCAACCATCATCAACTTCGCCCCCTTTTTCTTCCACTCCTGGGGACTCTTCTTCTTCTTTGAGTCRTTCCCTGAGGGGGGTTGAGCATTGCCTAGTGTTGCCTCTAAGTCTAAGGCCTTCCTAGACAATGTCTCAAACGAGTGGTACTCGGTGCGTGCCTCACTGGCCAGTAAGTTCCTGATGTTCTCTGGAAGACATCTAACAAAAGTTGTTAACAGGAACTGGTCAYTGTAGTTGATGMCCGGGACGAGGATCAGGCCCTCCACGGTAGTCSTAAGCTCCCTAACTAACCTGAACTTGCGTTGGTCAAGTTTGTTAATGGCATCAGTGGCCCTTTGAGCCTCCTGTGGGTTATGCCATCGAGCTTCTACCATCTCCATGAATTGGTCTAAGGTCAAAGACTTAGCCCAATCCGCCATGCGTCGCCCGTACCCGGCCTTCACAACTACACCATCTAGCCACTTGGCTGCCTTACCCTCTAGGTAAGACGCCGCAGTTACCACCTCATCCTCTGGCAAGGTCCTTTTTGCCTTCACCCAAACCGGGACTGTCCTCAACCATATGTTGAGTTCCTCGTCCTTTCTCTCGCCTGAGAAGGCACGAGGCGGTTTCATTGGGGTCTTGGGATACCATTGGCCTTGCGGTTGTCCAGATTGTTGAACAGGTTGTTGTGGTGATGTAGGAATCATCACTGGACTCGAAGAAGAAGACGCAACAGTCTGTGAGACTGCTGCAACTTGGCTGAGTGCCAACTTGTACGGGAAAGGGACCTGACATCGCCGTTAACGACAATGACGATTGTGCTGGTGGCCTGAATCCTGGCCTTGTCAATACATCCAGGATCTGGTCCAAAGTGCTCTGCATGAAGTCCAACATGCTGTCTACATGCGCGTGCAGTGACAACATGTTGTTCTTCAACACTTTCATGGGGTCAGACAAACCCGTTTCGTCCAATCCCTCTAACTCAGCTTTGTCAGTCTCTAGTGTATCAAGCCTGGCAGCTCTATTTTTTATCTCTTTTTCTCTATCAGTAGTCTCTTTCAGTTTTCTTTCTAACCTTTCGCGGACCTTTTCGACCTGTTGGAGTTCCCTGAGTTCCCGCTCACGTGCGGTCAGCGGGCTGTACTGCGAGCCCGCTATCTGACTAGTAGACTGTCTAGAACCCGTTGATCCGGAAGTGCCCGAGGAACTTGTGGAACTAGTTGGCATTCCCACAATCATCCCATTAGTCCCTGACAAAGCCGCGGAGGATGCTGCTGAGCTAGTCATGGCTGCTGCCCTAGCTGCTGCGGCAGCCTGTTCCCTAGCTGCGGCGTTTGCTGTTGCTCTCGATGCTGCGAGAGCATGGGCTCTGCGTTCGGCACGAAGTTGTCTTAATTCTTCCTCGTCTAGAGTCCTGAACACGTACGGGATTCTACTTGTTCCCGAACGTGTTAGTCTAGTGTTGTCCACTCTATCATCCACAGGATCTGATCCACTCATTAGTTAGACAGGCAATATCTGCACTACAATCCCCTAGTGGAATCCTACCGCAGCATATGTTTGATCGGCACTTAGTTTTCTATAAATAGTTGTGTCCGGCAAGTCCCCTACTGTACCGATCAAGTGGCATGTCTACAACATTCACACAGATTGTCTACATAGTCTAGATGCACTTTGACAAGTTCACTTACAAAAGCACTAGATAGAACTGGCTATGGTAGTATACTTCAGTCCTACTCTAGTCTGTCTGTGAGGTGTTAGCACTCTGTCCACCAACTAATCAAAAGTACAAAAAGACAATGTAACAGATGTATGATTGATGGGTATGGTTGTGTATACAGTTGAGCACCAATTAGAACCTACCCTCCCCTCAATCCAACATACCGAATAGCATCTTTGAG